TTCATCTGAGACGTTCAGTAGAGACACAAGAGCATCTAATAGCTCTTGTGACGCTTTAAAACGCCTATGATCCTTTTTGTGAACAGCTAATTCATCATGGAGGGGTGGCGAAAATGGACACTGTGAAGCGAGCCCAAGCTCTTTCCACACTTCCGAGGTCTCGATCAGCTCTTGACAAAAGAAGGCAGCCCCGTCTTCCCAGGTGCGTTGACAGCATACGAATGGCCGGAAAAACGACTCTTCCATTGATCTAGCTGTGGAGAAGTTCGTGGCGAATATTCTTAAGCTTATGTGGTAGGCTCTAGCACGTGCTGAGATCAAAGGATTCGAATCGAGAAAGTCGAAAATGTCAGGAGGAGGATGCGTAAAGTCTGGGAACTGGTTCGCATACCAGAACGCCGGCTCAATGCTAGTAGACTGCCAGTCTATGATGGATGTCACAATGGTGGGATCATCTTCTGACACAAATATGTTTCTTTTGTCCAGACTGGGATGAAACATGGCAGGGCTGGCAACACTTTGGATTTTCGGGCTTTTGGACATTTCCTTCAACATTGTGCGGGCCTCTTTGAGTAGGCTTTTGTGTGTCTCAATAGACCCTTTGTAACGTGGGCGTTTTACCGCAGGCTCAAGAGGCGGTATTCTAGAAATTCCGGAGTCGATGAGACCATCCGTGTAATCGGCTAAATTTGTCCCTGTACAATATAATCAGACGTTTCCAATCTCCAAAACCTATGAGCTAACTTACAAGGTCCTTGATTTGGTTTGACATCGTGATAGAATTTGGGTTGAATAGGCATACAATTCCAGTACATGTGCCCACAGTGTGGGCCGATACAAAACTCTTCATTAAACGGGAGCTTTGAGGGAGGAAGATATGGTGTATCAGCAAAGTATAGACTGCCATATGCTGGAAATTTGATGTTGGCCATCTCTGCAAGCTGTTTGGCAATCAGTCCTGCGAATCTGATTTGTTGGTCCATATCCATTGTTGGCCATTTTTCAAGCAAGCGAATACCCGGTGCATGTTCCATGATGATATATTCGCTGCCAATGGGATTTGAAGGGTTGTCACTCCAGTCGAGTATCTTTGGAATAGGGACCTCAGTCTCGGCTTGCACTATAAAGTCCAAAGGTGGTTAACCATAACATCAACAGTATCCTATTATCTTGTTGCAGAACCTACAGTACTTGATCGTTGCGACTTCTGAATTGGTCGAAAGTCGCGGAGGCCCTGCCGATCCAAATGGTAGTCTTGCGACGATACGTTCAGCGCTATCAGTATGGAATATGAACACTCGGTTAAAGCCGCCTTCCTTCTTATCGTACGAAGTGATAGATGTCGAGTTAGGACACAATGCCAAAACTTTACGGCAGAGGGCATCGAAGTCGAAATGTAGAAAATGTGATTCTTGCTGTATTGCATCCTTACGAAGCCATCGACCACTGGTATAGTGGTAGGGGTCGGGGCCTGCGTTCCTGTCAGCATTTAGGCAGAGAGAAATAGTTATCGTAGCCTACCGTCTCTACGTAGTTCTCTTATACAACTTGAAGAGAAGAATCTCGCACGACCAAGGAGCCGGTGGTTCGCGCAAAGTCCGAAGTTTGTGGGGGTACGCTGAGTAAGACTTCGTGTTTTGAAGATCAACGAGGGCTTGGTCCGGTAAAAGAACTTAGAGCTTCCATTTGGAAACATTGCGGCTGGTATGATGGAGATAGGCTTTGGATTATTTCCTTGTTCGTTAATCACTATGCGATAGCTTGCTTAGAATGTATGCGCGGTGACGTTGCATGGAATAACGTATATATAGTACGTGGTAAAAGTACTCAAATTATTGTGCGGTCTCCAAAAGCAAAATCTATGTTGTATTCCATGGTTCTAGGAGCTCTCAACGCAAAGGTAGTAGTAATGGAACTGCTAAAAAGCTTGTGGTTGCTAGTCATTGCATCCCTGGTTGACTTCGAACTCTGTTAAGTATCATTCAAATCACTTCACCGTTCAACCTACTTTGCCTACAAGTTTGCGATCGTTTATGAACCGAACGAAGCTCAATGAGCATGTCTCAGATGGTCATAGTAGAGATTTGGGTAGCTTTGCGGGGCCAACCGAGGCGGTGGACATGGTCGAGAACGAATGAGTATAATGACCCACAGAATGGGGGGAAAGGCGGCCCGTGCGAATTTAGCGTGTCCTTGGCGTCGACCCTGCTTTTGCACACGCCCCACGGTATTGCTCTACCCTGAGTACTTGATACCTTTTCCAACCCACTATGCAACCCAGCGAACCCATCTAGTAGTATGACGACTTGCGAACTACCATAACACCGGTCCTCAGAAAAATACTAGGGTCTCACATGCAACACAGTGCCGTTACTTTACTCGACAATTGATGACCCCGCACTCGAGGCCTGCGTCGATACCCACAGCTATAATGGTACAACTGCATATCGCGAATCGCAAACAGCGCAGCAGCTCCACCTTTGATGCACGCTGAAATCACGCCACTATGCTCAAGCCACTCACACACAGCCACGGGGCGCACATCGGCACCCCTGCATAGCTGAGGGGTATGTATGTATGTCAGACACTCGGCGCCGTTACACCTGGCGATGAGTGACTATGATGCATCATTGTCTCGGTACAGGCCGCGTTGTTGGGCTTTGCTTGGTTGTATGGCGTGGACAATGGCAGTATCCAAGCTGGATGACGGCAAGGTGTCCGGTGAAAGCATAGTTATGCCACGTGTGACGACGCAGTGAAGACCGATCCGCCTCCTCCGATGAATGTTCAACAAGTGGAGTCTGGTGGGGATTACGCGGTTTGGGTCGGCTTGGCTTCGTGAACCTCTTTTACTACAGTGGTAAGGTAGCTGTCGGACTAAATCTTCGCCACCCGGGTTCGTCGCCTTACTATAAAGCCCAACATTTCCTTCCTATCTGCCCACCTTTTCTTCAACATCCATCAAGTTTGAGCAATCCCGCACTCAAGAAAATTTCCCCCAAAGTTCTCTTTCACCATGACTTTCTACCACTCCGCTGAGGACATCCGTATTGACGACGGCCACATCCTTAGGGCTCGTCTCCGAACTGCTGACGGCGAGTGGAACGACTCCGAGATCGATCTCAATACGTGTATCGGCAACGACAATGGTAATCTGCTTCTAGTGTTCAATTCGGCTTCGCTGACACTCTCAAGGTCACTTTGTTTGGGACGGTCAAGGCTTTGCCGATTCAGCAGATAACGCTCATTTTGCCTTGGAAGGTGCTGATAACGTTCCTGTTCTCCGCGCCACCTTGAGGGATGTCGATGGCAACGAAGAGACCCGTGACATCAACCTGGGTGAGCGTATCACCAACGAAGATGGCCACTTTCGATTCAGTTAGTATTTCCACTACCCTCCCGGGTGATGCTGAAAGCAGCTTGCTAACAGATTTAATTAGACTAAGCTAGCCTCAATAGCCATGTATATAAGTAGCAATGCATTATGATTTCACGAAATGTGCCCGGACATAGTTACGCAATGCTTACTTCTGTGACGCACGTCAAGCTTCCTGCTACTATACGCCGCGACTAGAAACAGCATTATTGTTATAGTCGTCGGTAAGGTCTTTGTGGTACGACACTCATGATTTGACGGAACTGCGTCATGCAGAAGCTAGTACGCATACATGTGTGGCTGTGCAACCTCGACACGACATTGCTAGTGCATGGCCAACAGGTCTCATTTCGGACCTACTTTACGTCTCACTCATAACCCTATCGGTCTCTTGCAGATCTCACATCGCATTTCTAGATGCATTTATAAGGCGGTTTCTTAGCACTTATGGCTAGTTCGTTGAAGTTTTCATACATACAGTATGTACTTGCATATGTTATGAAAATCCACGAATTTCCTCATAGCTTCTTTTAGTTCGTACACCCTCTCATTGCGCATCGAGCAATATAGCTTCTCACGAGTGGCGCCCGCACGAAACCCAACCTACAACTATAGTAATAGATGCGTTAGCATGGAATTGATATATACTCCTCCTCATGCTTGCTGAGCATCTCGCATCCGACGCATGTAGGTTTTGGGTAAACTTGGAGATATTGTGTACTTGTCTTTTTGCGCTATCGTTAGATACCACCGGCTGAACACGACTGAGCCCTCTCCAGCTAGGCCACCCCGTGCCTAAAAAGGTACAGTATACTGCATAGCAAAATCCGTTGTAGGACGGGCGATACCTATCCATACATCTTAAGAAGAAGGCGAGTATTCATACGAAGACTAGAAGTAGCGGCGACACGGTGGCAGATATCCAACATAGTCATCTCACTTGGCTTCGGGGCTAGTGGCACGGCGTTCAGAGTGGTATCACATGCCTGTGCTATTCTGCAAAAGAGATACTAAGTGCCATGTGACATCTGTAGTGCTTAACCATCCAAATGTTCTGTCAGTTACACCCATAGCAACGATGAGCTACTACACGTACTACTAACTATCTTTGTTTTGTACTGAGCATTGGTGAGCGATATTGTTCAGTCGTTCTTTGGATGTATTTACTTGGATATATCTACGTAGGGCCATACCACTCTAACCATAGAACATTGCTTGACTAGGTTTAGAATAGCCATTGCATCACGAAAGCAGAATATACGTCCAGAAACTAAGTTCTCCTATATGCGTAACCCTCTTCTTTTTGCAGATGGAGTAATCGATATTCTAAGATCATTGTATTAATACGTATTTACTATCACAATAGCAGTTGACATGTGGGTTCGAAGCTTCGATAACGTGGCGTTGTTAGAATAATTAGATCTTGAAACTTTAGCAGGTAATCGAACCATTGCCACTAGGAGATGAGCCATCGAAGCTGTTTTGATGGGGACTATAATTGGTTTGAAGTACAGCATCGCTGAATGTGTTTACCATTTATCAGCATAATATTTGACCTCAATCATTGAAACCGTTCATTCTTCTACTAGCTCATCGAGATATTATTCAACGTTGCGAAGCTATTTTATGAACCTTCGTTATGAAGACCATGTCCACGATGAAATAAGAAAGCTTTAGGAAGTTCATACGTGTTTCTCACAACCAGCCAGTTGATAAGGGAGATTACGATAGTAGCTGCTCCCACAACGGGAGCCCAGTTCATCGCATCGTCGGTGACAGGATAACTAAGAGGAATGCAGAACACAATAGCAGACAACAAAAGCCAGACTAGCGTCATGATATTAACCAAAGGTCCGAGCTTTCCAAGGCTGAAATAGCGATTCCGTGGCAAACTTTGTCGTCCGCGCGCCAATAGAAGGGTGAGAGGTATTCCATAGGAAAACAGCACGCAGATCACTCCCGAACCATATAGAGCGTTGAGGACGTATGAAGGCGCGAATTGCAGTGTGTCCAATGTGATGCCAATGCCTGCACGGAGCAGGATCGCATTCACTGGAAGCTGCATCTTAGGATTTACATGGGTAACCCAGGCAACGAATGGAAGACCGCCTGACTTCGCGAACGACCATACAATCCGGCTAATGGAGGTGACAGTAGAGATGGAAGCCTGCATAAATGTCGCGATGAAGATAATGTCCACAGTGATGACCCAGGCTTCGTTGTTCCAGGCGTCCCAGCATATCTGTAAAATTGGCTGACCACCCAATGGCTGCAGAAGATTGTCGTGGTTGATGATGCAAAACATAACGACCACAATGGTGATTATACCACCAATACTGGACAGGAGGAATGAGCCAAACATGACCTGCGGAATGCGTCTCTGTGGGTTTGGCACTTCTTCTGACATGTGGGTCACGGCGTCTGGCAACGCAAGGGCTGCTTGACCGGGAAAAAGGCCCATCAGAAACACGAGCCCATTTGAACTCCATCCGGTACGGTTGACAACATCAACGAAAACACTCGACCCTGATGCTTTAGGTTGTGTTTTGACAAGCAAAACTACGAGCATGTAGATGAGCCTTCCATTGATCCAGAACAGGGCAAATTTGTTGAGAAGTGGGTATATCTTGATCAGGGCAGTGTTGAGAATAACGCTGACGAGCGCCATGCATATCGCTAGCAAGTACAAGTGCCAGTGCTGAATGGTATACGACGGGCTAAGGATCGAGGCTCCGGCAACCACAAATTGTGAACTCAAGAGGTAGCCACCCGTGAGACCAAAAATCCAAGCCCATATGGTCATGATACCGTTGAAGTAGGCGAGAAATTTCTTGTATTTGGGCGGGGCAAGTACGGAGGTCCAATAGGTTTGACCTTGAATTCAGTTGTCAGCAGAAGCCGGCGAAATCCCGGGGAAAAAACTCATACCTGCGACGTGTGGGAAAGACGAGCCCAGCTCTGCGAAACTGAGAACAAGCAGTCCTTGCAACACAACCACAACCAGGAAACCCCAGAAGAAGAAAGGACTTCCGCCTACAGCCAGAGTGAACTGCATAAATCCGCATATCGATAATGGGGTGGCACTTGTGGTATACTGGACACCAAGCACACTCCAAAGGTTAAAGCGTTCGTCATCGAGTTCAGTGACTGCATAATTTTCGCCAATGCTTGGTATCGACACCAAGTCACCAGCAACACCATCTTCCAATGCGAGCTTCTTCTCCGATGATGGTTGACTGTCGACAGGTGCGGCGATCTGTCCAGCCATGTCTGCGAATATATGTAATTGTTGAAAAAATCTCCAATAAATAAGGGAAAAGGGATATTGAGAGATGGACAGGCTTGAGAAGACAAGCTATACATCTGCAGTCACGAACAGCAAGCTATATAGGCTAGTGCCTTCATCTGGGGAAATTGTGGGGTTTTAGTGCACTTGGCTGGCGCTATCGGCCTTTCCGGGAAGCTACTTATCAAGTGACCAGCTTTCGGTCCCTCAGCACGATAAGCAATCGGAGCTTCCGTGTGGAGGTGAGTGCGACATCCGACGCTGTTGCCAATGCCATATGCAAGGGACGCAATCTTGATTACGTCGATATCGCATTCAGGGAATGAAGGCTATCCTTTCCTCTAGCTCTATAGAATGCTCCCAATCCACCATACCCAATGGGAAATGGTTGAGAACCAGTACTACAGAAAATAGATCGTAGAGGAGTAGAAAAGAGAAGACTTTGTGAACTCTACACGCGCCAACATGAACATTAAATCAGTCAATACCTATATGCCACAAGTCAAATCTCATGGCGCTCACTTCTCCCAACGAAGATAAGGTTAAGAAGATATGCTGTGTGTAATAAAGCGCTAGCCCTCCGAAGACCTCGATACAGTGGACGCCTTGAGTAAAGATGTTCCATCCGCTGATAACGGAGAGTCAATACACCCAAATCCTGCAGAAGGCAGCACAGCAAGCTGAAGATAACATCTGACGTTGCGGCCTGTCATACTAGTAAATAAACCGCGAGAGGACAGCGAGGAAGCGAAAAGAATGAGATAGTGAGCACAAAGAGTGCAGAGGTGGCGCGCTAAGGAAACGATAAGAAGAGAGAAAAATGAAAGTGTGTGCGAATAGAATGTCTGGCGAACTCAAACATATCGCATATAGTCACAATATGTTCTGTGACTTGCGGCGACGCAGTGGAGCTAAGAAATCCGACGGAAATCCGATATGCGTTATCCATGCTGCAATAGTGGGGCCTATACGAAAATTCCGGAGCCCAACCTGCTGCCGAATGGTTAGGTGCAGAGCCTCAAAGAATCGCTAACACAGCCTTACTTTTTCGGTAGTTACTCGCGGGTATAGCTGTATGCTGATGGTTTCTTCACATATATCCATCAAGTATACGTGATCTGAATTTGACTACGACTTTGAAAACTCATCATTTAATACTCTTGCACGATTGCATACGACGAAATGGCAACAACAACCTACGTTGACCGTGCCCTCAAAGGCGCACATGAAGCGTACTCAAAACGGAATTCACGTTCCTTGAAAGCACATCAAGATGCCCACTCCCATCTTCTAGGAGGCAATACCAGGACAGTACTTCATGCAGATCCATTTCCATTGACATGGGCGTCTGCAAAATCCGGCACCCTCACATCTCTGGATGGCGACACATATATCGACCTACTGGGCGAATTCAGTGCCGGAATCTACGGTCACTCCGAGCCCCGGATAGCGGAAGCTGTTCAGATCGCGATGTCAAAAGGGTGGAACTATGGCGGAAACTCGCAGAAAGAGAAAGAGTTTGCCGAAAAGGTCTGTCAGCGGTTCGGTCCAGCAGGCATTGAGCTTGTTCGATTTACCAATTCTGGCACCGAGGCGAATACTACAGTTCTGGCTGCATCTCTTGCGATTACCAAAAGAAAGAAGATCCTTGTCTTCAGCGGTGGATACCATGGCAGTACACTTGTCTTCCTAATGGCACTGATTCAAGGTTCAATTGCGCCTTGCATGAACTTGCCTCATGACTTTGTATATGCGCCTTACAACAACATCGCTGAGACAAGTGCGGTTTTGGAAGGCCTCCCCAAGGACAGTCTCGCTGCGATCTTGGTTGAGCCTGTCCAAGGATCTGGTGGATGCAGGGCTGCAACTAAAGCATTCCTACACTTCCTTCGCGATACTGCCGACAAGACCAGTGCTTTCCTAATATTCGATGAGGTCATGTCTTCGCGCCTGGGTTATTCCGGTTACAGCGCCACACAAGGTGTGCGAGGAGATATGGTGACGCTCGGCAAGTACGTAGGTGGCGGCATGACCTTTGGAGCCTTTGGAGGTCGCCGAGATATCATGGAGCTTTTCGACCCTTCCAAGAACCAATTGTTCCATCCTGGTACCTACAACAACAACGCTCTCAGTATGCATGCGGGTATTGTGGGTCTAGATATCTACAACGCAGATGCAGTCGATCGACTGAACAAGCTCGGCGAAATCTTGAAGGCCAAAGTCCAGCAGATCTTGATCGACAATGGCATATATCCTGACACAGTCAAAAAAGCTTCTTCGAACCTTGTCGAGATCGATAGCTTCAAGCACGGTCTTACTGTACAGCTTGACGAGGACACTACGACAAAGCTGAGTCTCCCACCAATGTTCATCACTGCACGAGGGAGCATGCTCAACGTGCGTTTTTCAGGACCCGATGCTGCCAAGTGGCAGTCGCTCTACTACCACCACATGCTAGCGAGGAACATCAATATTGCTGTAAGGGGTTATACACCACTCACCCCCTGCGCCACAGAAGCGCACATAGACGACTACGCAAACGCTATACAAGAGTTTGTACAGTTGCACAAAGACCACTTGGTCGGAAAGCCTATGCAAAGTCTTCTTTGATTGGGCTTTCATAGGCCACTCATGCAAGTTACCGATTCAAGAGAGTACAATCACTGTGAACGTTGATTGTTGGTGTGGTTGAGAAAAGGATCGTGTATAGTTGTTGTGTAATTAAGAACTGAATAGAGTGGTATATCAACAGAGAATTAGTTGCTGTCGCTCTTCTAACAAATCTTAAACCCCGAACTTTCATTGATTGATACTATGGTGGATTTATGGATAAAAGATTTCATCTTTTCTATTTACCGGAAGTCTCGGCATTCGATCCACCCTTGTCCTTTGTGAAGTGAAATCCTTCCACATAAGGTACAAGTTGGCTCAGATGTTCTCAGACACATTGCAATCATTAGATTTAGTTACGCTGCACATAATCCACCTGGTAGAAAATGTCATGTTCAAGAAAGAAAATGGTAATACATGTTTCAGAATTATGGCGTTGGGTAGATAGTACCTTGTGATTTCATGATGCTTAACTTCTACAACTACACAATCAGCTCTTTAGACTTTCCATGCCCTGCAGCATAGGAGCTGCATTTGAATATCAGGGCAAATCGCTTAGCAGAGAAAATGATCCGACTTTGTCTCCTGATGAAAAATGACTCTCCTTGGTGCAGTGTGACCTTCTTTCCTGTCTCGTCCTCGAGGTCAAGTTCCCCTGGTAGAATCAGTAAGTTAAAAACGAGTTTCTAGGCCTATTCGAACATACCTCTGATAACGATGCCAGACTCCTCATGATCTGTGGGCCAGTAATAGTCTACCTTGCCTGGAATGACGCGCAGAATTCCAGCAAATAATTGGACATCTTTGTCTTGCTCTGCCGGGTCTGTACCAAGAATGCGACCTGTCAAACATGTAAGCACTTTTGCTGGCCCAGAACGGGAGAGAATTGGTGATACCGTAGTAGTGACAGGGTTCAACAAGACCTTGCACAAGTGGAACGTCGTATTGTGCGTTCTCCGAAGCGTAGTCGAAACCTATATCTCACAAAGTCTAAATCCAAAAAGAATTTTATATAAAATGTGTTTTTCGTTGAAAGGCAATGCAGACGAGGGTGTAAAGAGTTGATAGAGTGTTCCGCACCCTCTTGTATCAAGCAAGTAGACTACCATCCGCGTGTTATTAGCGGCGCTTCTGCAGGGAAGATTGCGATCCATTCATCATCCGTTCCTTTCAAGGAGTTTGCCGGACATCGTGCAGACCGCCCAATAACACTTTGCAACATCAAACTATTAGACGCTACCCCAAACTCTGGTAGGTTAGCCGTAGTTGAGGAAAGGGACGCCAAAAGCGTATTAGATCTTCGGTAGCAGGACGCTAGGAAATTCCGCAAAGGAAACCCAATGATAAGCTATAGGATTTTCCGGATCGTTCTCCACTTGGCGTTCGGCATGTAATCTGTCCAGCGGCAAAATCAATTAGTCAGTTCTGGGCGCCCGATCGATAGTCTAACCGCGGTAGAGAGTGTTCTGATCAAATATCCACCTGACGTCGAGTCCGGATTCGCAACAGTCTCGGTTGTACTGCGGCTGATCGTAATCAGCGCGCGCAGTTCGCGTTAACTTTCTCAATGTCGCCATTTTGTAAACTGCAGCTGTCACAGATTGTATAAGTGATCGTGCGATAATCTTACGACATGATCAATGTCTTAGCTTACGTCTGAACGGGATCAACCCGATGATAAAGTTTCAATTTCACAGGCTCGCCATGTCCCGAATGTGTTTTTGCGCCAATATCCCAAAACGGAAGTTCCGGTGCAGAACCCGGATCATACTCATAACTCCGTATCTCGACCTTTTCCAAACAAGGGTGGTCTGTGGCAACAGTTAGCAGAATACCAATATGCTTTTAGTGGCCCACTTGAAATATTCCCTATTACAAAACGCTTTCTAGTCTGTACATTTGACTTAGTTGACCCGAGTGCCCAGTCGCTATTTGTTTTTACATTTGCAACGAACAATATCAACAATAGCCAAGATGCTCTCACAGTTGACCGCGCAATTAAACACAATCAGTTTAACCCCGCAGTCGACTCCAACTGTGAACGACGCTCTGCACACTCCTTTAGCGGCTCTCACAGAACCTATTGTGGGCCATCTCCTTGGAGACTTTGCTTGTAGTTGGCGGTATACTGACGCGACTGCAGGTTTCCGAGCTTATCAAGCGTTTCCCAGAACAAGTATTCGAGGAGCATCATCCACGGTACAAGGCACTTCAGAATAGTTACTGGTCCGGATATCAAAAGACCCTGAAACCCCGATGTTTCTTTCAACCACATTCGGCGAAGGAGCTTGGCGAAGCAGTGGCTCTCTGTGCGAAAGAGCGATGTCCCTTCAATGTGAAGAGCGGTGGTCACGGTCACTTTGCCGGACAATCTAGTATTGAGGGAGGCATACAATTCGACCTGGTCAAGCTCGACACGTTCAAGATCAAGAGGGATGAAGGGACGGTTCTTGTTGGTCCTGGCAATACCTGGGGTTCCGTGTACCAGCGACTAGAGAAGGAAGGTTTAATTGTTGTGGGTGGAAGGTCCTATAACGTTGGGGTCGGCGGGTATCTGGTTGGAGGTATGTACCTACAGCGTTCCCCCTGCTGACGATGCGTGTCAACTAACTTTTCACAGGAGGCATTTCCTTCTACGCAGCGCGACACGGCTGGGGTATCGATAATGTGCGATCTTTCGAGATCGTACTCGCTGATGGTCGAGTGGTCACTGCAAGTTCAAAAAGTGAGCCAAAACTCTATCGAGCACTGCGAGGTGGCGGTTCCAACTTTGGCATCATCACAACTTTTGAATTGGAGGCATATCTCTATAATCGATTTTGGGGAGGCCGCACGATGATTGACAGTTCTCATGCCAGGCAAGCTATAGCGGCCTACGAGGGCTTTGTGAACAGGCAAGAAGAGGATCCGAAAGGCCACACCATCTTTATCGCAACCTATGATGAAGGACCACTTCGACTGATTCAATACATGGTCTACACTGAACCTCAAGCCGACCTGCCTTTGTTTGATGAGCTTCGCAAAGTTCCGACCATTGAGTCTTCGCTGGGAATGACTGATTATACAACCATGGCTGAAAACATCGCTGGCCTACAGGACGGTGTAGGATATCGTGCAGCGATTGCTACCCTGACCATCAAGCTTGACCAAGACCTTCTTAACTTTGCCTACGATGTCTTCGTTGAGGAGGCTTCGCCACAGTCAAAACACATCAATTCGACAATGGAGTTCCACGCCATCCCTCGAACAACAAACCCTGCTGGCAACATGTTCGGGCTGGAGGGCGCAGATGGACCTCTCATATCTTTCCTCTTGATTTTTGTAACCTCAGATGCGAATTACGACAACGAGGTAACTAGGATGCAGCAAACAATCATTAGACGTGTCGAGGAAGAGGCCAGGAAGCGACAGCTGTACCACCCTTTCTTGTTTCCAAACTATTCGGCCCAATGGCAGAATGTTTTTGACAGCTTTGGTGAAGCGAGCAGGAGGTACTTGACCGAAGTCGCCAACGTATACGATCCTCAACGAGTTTTTCAGCGCCTGCAACACGGATCATTCAAAGTTAGCAGTCCGAGTAGAGTCAGAGATGCGAAGTTATGAGGAAAGAATGCTGAGAGCGTTTTTAGAGAAAAGAATTAGAATTTTATTGTCCAATACGTAAGCCTTGACATGTTCTGGAAGTGATATAGACGGAGATGTGATTTTTGTTGTGTAAGATTTCCTCAGAACTCAATCTACGTCAATGAACAACGCTTAAAATTGCCGCAGCACATTCTCAGCGTCACTTGAGTGATGCAGATAACGTTATGCTACGGTAACAGTCATAAAACCAAGCATTCGCTCAACTCACGTGTGAACTTCTGGATCTTAGCTATCATCTTGAAAGATAATCTTCAGTTAATTAGACTAGATAGAACACGCATTTACATGGCACTGATACCGCGAAAGAATGTCGCATGACTGCTGGTTTGAGACTCATGATGATGGGATTTTGCCACTGGGCTGCGGGGGTGAATACGAAGGATCTCGTGATCTAACACTTGCCGTGCTTCGGAATTTCCGATTTCTCGGCATGCATCTCGGTCTATGCAGCAAGGTTGACTAGCACATCCGTAAAACGTCGAACTCTACGAATGGCTCCACATTCGGATAACTACTTACTAAAACATTCATCTCATAAACTTTCTTCTCCTTCACCTTGAGAAATCATTAATAAAAAAGCAAGAGTCGTATTGCCCGTCAACTAAGCAAGGATTTCAATCCGACAACCAAGTCCGCTTTGGCTGTCATTGCCTGCTGAATCGACTGGCCGGCCATATACACAGCGAGCATTCGACGAAAGCGCCACAATGGGAAGTATTGATTACATTCCTGCCTCTGCCACAAACGGCAATCATGCATACACGGTCGAGGAGAATGATCTGGGATATTCACGTCCACTGCGCGTTATTTGCATTGGGGCTGGCGCGACCGGATTAGACCTTGCCTACAAAACGGAAAGGCATCTCAAGAATTTCGATCTCCAGATCTACGAAAAGAACCCAGAGCTTGGAGGAACATGGTTTGAGAACACGTCCGTATCATCCAACCGAATATCGAATTGTAACTAATGCGAGGATACAGTTATCCCGGGTGTGCTTGTGATATCCCTGCGCATATCTACGAGTATGAATGGGCTCCAAACCCCAACTGGTCTCAATTGTGAGGACGTTTCCGAATCACAGGAAGGCTATGTTCTAATGTTCAATTACAGCTATGCTTCACAACCAGAGATTCTTCAGTATTTCCGTGACACGGCAACGAAGTTTGACCTAGAGAAATTTATCAAATATGACAGTGAAGTCGTTGAGGCTCGCTGGAATGAAGAGAAAGGTCAATGGCTCGTCAAGATACGCTCTCGATCGACTGGGGAAACAGTAGAAGACTGGTGTCATTTCCTGATCAACGGTGGTGGGTTTTTAAAGTAAGCGCTCGGTTTCATTGTCGAGTTCATACGCTAATATCTCTCAGCAACTGGCAGTGGCCGGCAATTGAAGGTCTACACTCCTTCAAAGGCTCATTGTTGCATTCAGCAGCTTGGGACAACAACGTGGACTTGAAAGGAAAGAAAGTTGCAGTGATTGGAAACGGCTCGTCAGGAATACAGCTCGTGACCGCAATACAGCCAGGTACGTCTCGTTAAATAAGCATTTTGAACCAGGATACTAATTGAAAAAGTGGCTGCGCACCTTGCGACATTTATGAGGAGTCCTACTTGGATTTCAACTACATTGGGCCAAGATCTCGCCGGCCCTAATGGAGCCAATTTTGATTGTATGCATCAAGACGATCATACGCCACTGAGGTTTGACTAATATCTTTGAAGACACGGAAGCACAAAAGCGCGAATACACAGAGCACCCGGAAAAGCTGGTTGCGTATCGGAAAGCGATGGAAACAGATTTGAACGGTGGATTTGCATCGGTATGTTACCAATCGCGCCCAAACGCAGCATTGTCCACTAACGAATCAACTCAGGCGCTCCACGATTCGCCACAGCAAGCCCAGGCGAGAGAAGACTTGACCAAAATGATGCGTGCCCGGTTAGGCAAGGACAATCCTTTCGTAGATCGCATTATTCCTAGTTTTGGTGTGGGATGCAGGTGGGGAAACAAACGAAACCCTTGATTCAGACGGTGTGCTAACTCTGCTGCAGGCGACCAACACCAGGCGTCGGCTATCTCGAAGCGCTAACAGAGAAGAACGTTCGCGTGGTATTCGATTCCATCACAAAAGTAGTCCCGCAAGGTATCCAGCTCGCAACAGGCGAGATCATCGAACTAGACGCAATTGTCTGCGCTACCGGTTTCAACGTCTCCTGGAAACCGCGCTTCCCCATCATCGGCAGAAACAACATCGACATGCGCGACCAATGGAGCTCGCGACCAACAGCGTACCTTTCACTAGCCGTACCAAACTTCCCAAACTACATCCGTTAGTCTTCACAAAACTCCCCTTTGTCATTGTAAATAGGCTAAGCTGACAATACAACAAAGTCTACATGGGACCAAACGGACCGCTATCCCACGGCTCCGCACTCCCGAGCATCGAGCACATCACAAAATACGTCATCAAGCTCCTTCACAAGGCGCAAACAGAAGGCTACAAATCCGTCGTGCCATCTCAAAAGGCACTGGACGACTTTATCGAACACGCAGACACTTTCTTGACGCGCACAGTCTGGAATGCAAAGTGTCGATCCTGGCTGAAAGGAGGTAAGAGCAGCTCTGCCTTCTATTTGCGATATCATGCGGGTCCTGTTAGCTGACAAAATGAACCAGGGAAGGAAGACGGACCGGCGTTGGTGCACCCTGGCAGCCGATTGCACTGGTTCCACATGCTCATGAATCCACGGTGGGAGGACTTTGAATGGACTCCGACGAATCAGAATAGATTCGCATACTTTGGAAACGGGTTTACTATTATGGAGACTAAGGGCAAGGATAAGGCGTGGTACTTTGGGGACCCGGATCAAGGGTATGAATCTATTATCAATTGAGAATGATGGTCTGTGCGTTGTCCCTTTGAAGACTATGGTTTAGATATCTAGGAGGGACAGCTGTATTTCATGTGTAGATGAACATTTTGACTTTAAGCGCTATCATGTGATGGCATTTAATTTGTACGCCACGTCTCTCATTTCTTCTTTCTCAAGAGTTCTCTGGCTGCACGTCATACGTCGTCGGCAACCGCTGCTAACCCAAAGACATTTGTGATTGTGATATTTGAAGATTTATACAAAATGTGCCCCTATATTTTCCTCGCCGTGAAATATTATAAGTATTGTTTTTTTCAATGGTCCTTGCACGCCTAGTTGCAGGATTTTGACAAAGCGTGCAATACTTCGCGCTCTTCTCATTTAGCCCATATATCTCCGGTAAACAACGCCGACAGCCTACTTCGAGTGCATCTTAAAAGCTCTCCTTAAAAAAAATACAAATAGTTCTCTACTATCACTACTCAGCAGAATGTTGGAGTGGTTGCACATTGTACGTTTTCAATCACTGTCTTTCGACCCGGGAGTACGATTCAAACTTGGGTATCGCACATCGCTAGCCTGGTGCCTTCACCGTGGCGTAGCTCTCAAGGTATCTGAGCTAGCGATCTATAGCTCGAGATTTCCATCCGGTATCCAGCCGAGAGAATCACCGAAGAAGCCAGCTATGTCATACCCAGACGTTGGCATGGTCATATACAATGAAGAGCTTGGGCCTGGGAAATCCAGAAAACTTGTTCCAGTGGGGGAGATTTCGCATTCATCCATCTCATTCATCTAGAAAACGTCAACGGGTTTGTCGCAATGCGAAAGATAAGGGAGAAATCTTGACGTAAGAGTTGCGAGAAAGGGGCTTCGACGATAACAAAAAACCGGAAACATACCATACTGTTGGCCCCTGTGGCCGACAGTTGCTCAAACTCATATTGCGACATGAAATCAGGATTTCCAACTCCGAGTGAACTGTCGTTAGGTGGCTCTCGGCGAATGTCGGATCCGGCACCTGCAAGAGTATTATCAGCGGTATTTGCTGAGTCTCCGGTCAAAGACTCAACGTAGAGGCGTGTGATGGAGGTAAAATCTGCGACCCTGGCATCGTGGATGGTGCCTTGCGCTAATAAGTCGAGTCTGGCGTAGTGGGCAGCAACTATGTCAAGGTATGACAGATTTCTCCTGGTCTCAGCATGTAGCGGGTTGTGAACAACAAAATCGAAGACAATGAACATTGCAACCATTGGCATAACTCCGAGTATCCTGTTCACCGTTAGTGGCTTATCGCACGTGAGTTTGCTGACTGGAAAAATTTACCAGACAGGAGTGAAGGGATTCATGGCGATCATATAGGTTGACTCGATGATCGCGCGTGCTGTTGTCAACAAACACTTCTCGTTTTCGGATCTTCGCGGCGATCCTTTGTTCGGGCACCGATTGAGAGTTATTCGTGATATACAAATTCTCAAATTGTAATATGAGAAGTGGATCCTCAATGCCATTTCTTGCATATACAGAGGCCTGGATCGATGTTGATGCAATGACGAACCGGGACGCAGGCTATCGGGAATCGAGTTTAGCCATGATTGCAGTTCGTAGTTGATGCAATCCATACGCCGAAAGCATTCTTCTGTTGGAATCAAGGTAGCAGATACCGAGAAGAGGGAATCATATGCTCTTGACAGAATCCTCGAGTAGCGTGCCCAGCAAGGAAGCCAGGCCAAACCTTCGGTGTGTATCGGCAAATCTGTGGGAAGCGGACAGCTGATATCCATGTCCGATATCAACTAGTGTTTACCAATCAGCAAATCGATTTCTTGTGAAAAAAAGGCCCACACGACATACAGAAGCGCTGCTTGAGTTAAAAGCGTACTCTTTTTCCAAGCAATATACGACCCAAAATATCCTTCTACCTTCTTGGTATGGGCCGCGGTCAAGGTTTCTCTTGTGCAAACCCAGAGTCATGACTGTCCTTGCCGCTTCTGAGATGCACAACGTCTCGATCTGCAGACTTGAGTAATTCAGAGCGAATACTGCCTAGAGTCAAGTTGCGGTTAATATTGGCGATGACTGTATTCATACTTGTGTCGCCTTACCATTGCTGTCATTGTCTGGTACAATTAGCATAAAAGCTCTTGAGCAAGACTGAGACATACCTGGGCTTTGAGTAAAGACGCCTTACACATCAACACATCTTGGAAATGGTGGAACACGAGGCTGAAGTAGTACCATGCTAGGCCCTTTGCAGGCTCAAATGAACCCCCGTCATGGTACATGCACCCGAGGCTAAGCACAGTGTGATACAGAACCAGCCATGTCTCATGAGTTGGACCTGAGTCTTGGGGATTGAAAGATGAAGCTCTCTCCTCGAATGAATCTCGATCCAGGAACGGGTATATCATGTGGACTTGTTCAAAATAAGCTATAGTTCGATTAGCTCGAGAAAAAATATGCATCTGACACGAGGAATGTGCGTACATTGGATGTATTGAGATCTACGCTCAGGAGAATCATCATTGTCGTCAGGTCGTCCATGGGGTTGAGAAGTAGGAGCCTCCCAACGGGCCTGCATCTGTGCTTCCAAGGTGTTTACCAACGTTTTGAGCTTGTCATGGCCAAGCTTCAGACATAGATTGTCGACAGCGTTGTCGGAAAAGAATGCGAGACTCGAACTTAGGACTGATACATACAGTCACCTATCAGAAGTTTGTTCGCGTAAGCACGGGCCCACCCCAACCACAATCGAGCTGCAGAGCTCCATCTTCTTCAACACCACGTAACTACATCAAAATGGCATCTTTTTCTACCAAAATTTCGAGCAATCGAAT